ATAATAGCAATAATATTTACACTACTACTACTGAAATGATAAGTCTCCTTGAGGAAGGTGAAATTAGCAGCATGGACGAAGTTTTTTTTAATCATAATGACATTAACAATCCAACAGAAATTAAATGGGGTCATTTGATGTAAATAGTCAAGTAAAAGAGAAAATCCTTGCAGAGAAACCTTTAATGTCATACATTTATATGTAGTTTTGATCCGGGAATTAATACTGTTAACAATAATTCATATAAATCAACAAAGAAAATTTCTGTGGAGAAACTTTTAATTTTGATCTGGGAATTAACACCATTAATAAAAAAACAAAGGTGAAATTTCTGTAGAGAAATCATTGGTAGAAATAACAATAAAATCTTAATTTGTTAATAATAGTAATAGTAATAGTAAATAGAATAAAGAAAGAATAAAAATATTAATCATATACAAAAATAAATGTTTGTTATGATGGATATTTTCTCCAATCATGTGGAACATGCTTCAGGTACATGTAAAGTCTTTACGGGCGATTTTAAATGTTGCTGTTTTTCATTTAATAAACAACAACAAATAAATTCCAAGATGATAACATCATTTAGCGAATACCATTTGAAAATTGTTATTATTGATAAACTGATGAAGAATTTTCACCTAACCCCCAATCATAGTCCAAAAAGCTATCAAAAAGGTCAACAAGGCTTGTTTCAGTATTTGTTGAAATGATAGGATCTGATGGTTCTGTTGATGTTGCTGGTGGTTGTATGACAAATGGATTTGTGATGATGAACCCATAAAGGTTCCTGAACTTGACGTGCCTCTACAGTGACTTCTTGGAAACATCAATTTCTTGATGATATTGATTAAAATAATCATTATTATTATTGCTTTTTTTTACTAATGATTCTTCTTTATTATTATCATCATTATTAAAAGAATCTGAAGTTTCCAAGGTCGCGGATACTGTTGATATGTGGACATCATCAATTAAGACTTTATTCATCTCGGAAACAGAAAGTTGCGATTGAATTGCTATAAACTTTTATCTAATTTAGTTAATAAAACTAATTTTTCTTCTTCTACAGTCTTTAATCTTTTTGATAAATGTATATTTTCTTTAAGAACTGTGTTCTGTGCCTCTAAATCAGTCATTTGTTTTCTTTTTTTATCTCTTGATATTTGTGCTGCATGTTGATTTTGAAGTATTCTATTATCAAAAAATCAATTAATGAATTATTTCGTTGATTAATTGATAATGGAATGATGATATTACACCTTTCACGTTGTCTTTGTTCTTTTTCTTCTATACCTTCAACCTTTCTCTTTTGACCACCAGTAGTTTTCTTTTTAGTTTCTTCAACTACTGATGATGATGAAAATGAAAATTGACTAGTGGAAGTTAAATTACTCAAACAGTTTGATGTGATTTTTGAATCCGGAACAATATTTTAGTAAATGTTGGTTGAATTGGTTTTAAAGCGGTGGAAGTTGAAGAAAGTAATTTAATTTTTGAAGTTAAAGGAGCAAAATCATCATTATTTGTTATGATGGGAGACGAAATTGCAGAAGAGGAAGGAGGAATTATTTCTGAGGTCACCAAATATTCACTCCAATTAGAGTAATCATTATTATGAGACAAAGGGATCTCGTAACCATTGGCATCATTGAAATGTTGGTTTGGTGAAGACATATGGTGACCTATTACGACTTTTCTTTGTTATCACTGTCAATGCAGTTTGGGCCAGTTCCAACAAGAATATTATTTAAAAAAAAAAATAGAGATAATAAAAGGAAATTTATGAAGATAAATTTATCTCATCAATATTGTGTAATGGTAACTGTTTAATTTTTTTGATGCATGTAAAATCCTCTGCCACTCTTTATGCCTAACCAACCAGCATCAACATATTTTTGTAATAAAATAGCTGGCCTAT